GAACAGGATTCACTTCAAACCTTCCCATGAACGTGGATCCGTACCTACCATGCATTTCGTCGCAAAACCACTTCCGGTCCCGCCCACTGGTCCATGGTCCGTGGAAGATTCCTTTAAGTATTTGGGTGGTGCGTAATCAGGGTCAAACGGGTTACATGAACTTCGAGTCAGAAGGTATCGTAATTGGTTCATTCTGGTTTACTGGAGGAGTTAGGAAGCTATCAAAGCTTTTTTAAGGTTTCAAGGTGTTTCAAGGTTTCTCCTCTTCAAGGAAATTTTTCAAAAATTTCTCCGGGTTTTTCTTTAGCAATGAATTATTGTATCTGCTCTCCTTCACGCCTCCCTCGCCACTCTCCTCCTCTCCACATTCACTTCCTTTCTGCCTTCTTGAACGGTGAGAAGATGGAAATGTGTGAGGACGATGAGAATGGTAAGGGATCCTATCAATCCTCTTGCTCTTGTAGAACACAGCTTGAATGTATCTGGCTAGTCTATTGAAGACATATCAGTGAATCTAGAAATGTTTCGTTCGTTCAACGTGAATTCTGGGAATGGAAGCAAGATTTTGAAAGTGCTGCGACGGGGTTGGTAGGGTTTTTCCGCGTTGGCATCATCGACCATGAGCAGGGGATAGTGTGATGGGTGAGAGGTTATGGGCAGGCTAATTGATTAATTTATTGTTAGCACCCGAACGTTATGTCGTATTCAGTCATTTCATATTTCATATTCCTTGAAGTTTGGCGTGCCACCTCCCAACAATGAATGGGACAATACATCCACGATATGATCCTGGAATGCGCACGTCATTGAGAACATGCGGGCTAGAGGACGTGATATGCGTCATCTACGGGCGGAGGCTAAGGAGCGAAAACCTTGCTCTACAAACGCTACAGGCTTCGCCTCTGCTAGCGCCCTCCTCTTCGTGTCCCTTTCGACGCTGCTCATTTTCTTTCTTTAGTCATCAGAGTCTACTGACATACAGAAACTCCAATGTTTGCTTGTGAGTGAGTTAGATAACTTGGAAAAGTAATTTAAGGTGTTTTTGACGGTTTTATTTGCTCCTTTCTTCATTGACAGTCCACTATCGCGTAATCTAATGCTCGCTACCCACTTCTTATGCCTTCAAGCTTGATAATACCTGATACTAACTGATACACTCGTGATACCCTGCTGTGCAACTGTTAAATGGTGTTTCATATGATACCAGGGTACCTAGATTAAATCTCAGCACACAAAAAATATGCCAGAGTTAGGCTAGCTGAGTTAAGGTGAAGCATCCCTCTAGTGGTGTAATAGGTCACACAACTTCTAGTTCAAGAGAAAGGTTCAGGTTTGGTTCCCGCTTGGAGCAAAGTGTTTTGCTCAAAACTCAACATGTAGGATATGGGATAAGAAAAAGGCCTAGGGGCATTCATTTCAGTTCCTTCGTCGTTTTCTTTCGATTGGGAGAGGTAATAGAGGTGTATAAAAATCTGTTCGAATATTAAAACATATGTTTTTACTGAAACTATCGTGTCCAAAATATTTTGGAACCAATACACTGAAATTAGTAAAATTTGCTTTTTTTCGCCATAACACGTTCTTTTGATCGAAACACTGTTATTTACCTCAGAATCACCTCAACACATAGACATTGTTGAATAATTCCCTGCATCATCAATGTTTTCTGTATTCAACAGTCAAAACTTTAGGCGATTGCGCTCACAAAATCGCTCTAGTTCCATTCACCCAAAAAGGGCGAAACACTCGATATTGTCAACGCGTTACAAATGGTATAGAGTGGTGATTGAAAAATGAAGCCGTAAACGAGCATCTTTGCGTTTCTTGAGCTTCTTCCTCTTGGCATGGCCAGGTCACCGGTCTCCTGACGGCATACAGAAGAATCTTATTAGTTTCTTTTGCGCTAGTATCAAAATTGTGCTAATCTTGTCGCATCCTGGAGCAAGGACTTGTGAAGGCGCGGTTTAGGGGACTAAGGGCATTGGTGAGGCCCTTAGTGATCAGTATTTAGTCTACGATATCGTAGCCGCTAGAGCTGAACGTTATTCTTGTGTGTTTTCTCTTTCATAACGAGTGTTTCATTTTTGATGGAATTGGCGTTATCACAAATGTGACCTCATGACGACGCTGATAAGACGTGTTATGAAGTTTTATGTACTGACAGTTACTAGAGGAAATAAGGGTTTTTTTCGCTTATAATTAGCATTTACTTTTTTATGTATAAACTAGAAGGAATTGTATGACATAAGGAAAAACAGTTTTGTTCGCAGCTCCTTCTAGGGGTCCATCTGGAACCGGAAGTGACTTACACTGGTGGCTTTCGGATATGATTTCTTGGGATTGTTGAAATAGTTTTCGATTTGTTTGTTCTTTGGACACACTCTTTTGCTCCTGTTAGAACTTTAAAGGTCACGCTCAAATGGGGTGCTTCCCCGATAGTTCCGCCCACTGCACAAACATCGCCTTAACCTTGAGTTATGCACCTCATGGTCTACGCCTCATTTAAGTCTGAAATAGTTGAATCTTAGTCGCCAGTCAAAAATCTAGAATTTGCAGTCCAAGTCATTTTAGGCTATATGTAGCAGTATAGTCGATATTTCTACACAATCAATGATATTTTTACAGGTGAAAAGTGCCATAAAAGAGCGTTGGAAAGGCAATAATGTGCGGGTGTCGGTGTTCGGCAGTCTACGAACTCGACTGTTCTTACCGACGTCAGATATCGACGTATTGGTCGAGTGTGATGAGTGGAAGGACTCGAGTGTTATGGTGAGAGTAGTTTGAGTTTCTTTTTCGAGTTTTTGAGCGTTTGCTTTTAAGAGGGGAATGCTTATTATGGGTGATTTCTGCATTAATTCTTTGTTTTGTTTTATAGCTTTGAGCTTGGTTGTAGCTCACTACGCTTTCCTGCTTTATTTTCATCTACCTACTTCTGAGCATCTATCATTTTATTAGTGTTTGAGCAATCGTCCGCTTCTTGACCATGGCTCCGTCCTAGAGATGGCCTAATAGAACTAGGTCGATTAGCTAAAGCAAGTAAGGATAGGCAAATGCAAGACGACAAATAAGCCAAGAAATGAGACGTGGTGTTCGTTGCCACGGCATCATTGTTGAGCAATGGGCGAGGCGTTGAGCTGATAAAAGAGCCGGAAACTTTGAATCAAGACATATTTTGCTAGAAACCAATGGAACAGGGGTTGTTCATCTCCTCTTGGGTTGAGCACCACATTCGATCTCCATGGCATTTGAATGCCAACAATGCAGGAACTAAACCGCCATCTTAGGTTAGCCTTCCAGCCGGAATCTGAGCTCGAATTAGTCTAATATTGGCTATACATCGTTCCTGTGAGCTGATTTCTAGAGGTACAGTACTTCATCTGCCTATTAGTTATGTGATGTCTTAGCTGGTCTCGAAGCTCTCGTAGGGTAGCGAGACATTTGGATAAATCATGAATTGGTTTCCACCTTTTTAGGCTCCGAAGAAGGCGAAATCGCCGAAACGTTAGCCACCGGAATCATATTGTCAACCTCGTGTACTGTTAAGTCAAATAAAGCTCGCGCAATTTACAATGCCTTTTAGGCCAGCCTGTGTCAACCCAGTGTTTCTATCCTTCCATACAGATGAAGTTGACTGTTCCTAGCGCGGTAGAAGGTTTGATTGGCTCCGCACTATTCAGCGCAGGTTTTAACACCCCCCCCCTTTTCCGCCCTTGACCACGCTCGTTACAGACGGCGCTACTTACATTCTTACCACTTCTCCCCTTTAGGTGCTTATTTGGGCAGGGTATGTATTAATTATTTGCAAAAGCTCTTTTCACAACCTTTTTATCCTCATTATTCTATTAGTTTCTGCTGCTTTGCTGAAGTGAACATTCTGTAGTGTTGCGTCAGGAAATGCAGAAGTGATGTGGTTCCTACGGAATAGTTCGGAAAATGTTCATGTGCAATGACAAAACGTGCCGGTAATTGGGGCAGTATAGAACCGGAGGGATTTTGTGATTTGGAGTCTCTATCCTTATGGAGCCCTTCATTCTTCTAGGGTCACATATTTTTTATTCTCCGAAGACAAGCGTGTCGTAACTGCAGACTTATTGCTAGGAACTGCCGCGGCGGGTTGCTTCACGAGCAGCAAGAACATAATGTCGGTTTTTTCAGCGATTGGCCATGTGTGGTGCTGAATTTAAACTTATTTTACAACATCACTAGCGTGGAGCAGTGCTGTTCTGTGCTAGATTTTCCTGGAACTACTGTTTCAGTTATTGCCCTCCAGCTCCGGCAAACCACCATAGGCAGGTGTCAGACTCGCGAATCCAGCATTCGCTAGCGAATGGCCAGATTCGTGAAATTTGACGCCGGCGATAGGAAGGATTTTCAAGCTCCTCAACTATTCCAAATCGAAAGTGGAATGCGTGGCGCATCAATGAGCCCCTCCCCTAAACCCGTCATCCTTTGCCCCATATTGGCGTCATGAGGGTTATTCAGTGTTCCCTGAGGTAGGCCGTATTGATGACGTGTGACTATGACATTGACGCGGAAGTGTCCTCGATATTTCTGACCATGACGTCCAGATAGGTTCTGAGATCGAGAAGGGCAAGGAAGAAAGACAATAAGCTGAATGGCGTGTGTTTTCGATTTTCTGAAATTTCTCCGGTGTTCTAGTTCGCTCATGTATAGCTGGTTCTTATGTGGTGGCAAATCGATTGCACCTCATTTTTTTCCACGAGTGGCCGAAGGCTATTCCAGAGAGCGCTGGCCCCAGGAACGACTGTCCCGCAGAACAAATTAGTAACATTGTGAGCTGATTTCGATACGATATGAGATGGAGCATGAAATCGATGTTCATGCGTATCTGTTTCCATGAAAGGAATTTTCTCCGGAAATTATTGCATTTTTTCCCAACATTAATCTGTCAGTTGAGATTACTGGCGACAACGTACAAAGAATCATGCAAGTAGACTCAGTTTCGCAGGAGAAACCAACTTGCGAAAAACCATATGGACGGTCGAAGGTAGGTAGGGCGGAAGCAAGGGAACACATGGAAGGAAGTACGTCGTAGGGCGGCCACGATTGGTTGAAGCTTGGAGTTTTGAGAATAGAGACAAACGATCAATGGAATATGATTAAGTAGAAAAGACAAATATCATTTCCATAAGTGGAAAAAGCAAAATGAGTTCCTAGTGAAGACATTCCGAAAATCAACATTTTTAAGAGATGCACGGCGAGAATGTGAACGTTAACGGTCTCTCGGATCTTTCGAATTGTTTACGAAAACAAGCATAATTACTCTGTTTTTTCTTCATATTGTGAATAGTGGGTCCTAAGATTCTTTTTTCCTCGGCGCCCCATTTCCCTTATCTCGCTGTCTAACTTGCCTTATTTTCCTACATCGTCCGTTCAGGCCAATTCGGCGTCCCGCCCCTTCGAGGTCAGTAACTGGTATCAGACTACTAGAACACTGACGAGTGGATCAAAATGTGTGACAGATATCCGAAATGGAATTTATCAACGCCGTTGACCTTTTCCATGTTATGTTATCAAAACTTGAGCGCTATGTAGCAGGAAGGAGTTAATCGGCTTGGCCTTCATTTACTGACTGCAGAGGCGAACTAGCTGCTCGTTTAGGAAAAGTTACCAAAAGCCATTCGTCATTTTTTATCTCACTTGTCCATGGAGACAAGACCGAAATTCATATAACCATTCAAACGTGGCCGAACAGCAAATGTTGCCATCGATCAAACACGAAAATGAGGCGCAGAAATGTCAACCGCTTCGAAAAGCCTTTTTCCTCGGTTTGGGGTTATTATGGAAGTGAAGTGAGTGGAAAGCTGGTTTCGTGCTAACAGCAAGAATGGAACCATCACAAGCCCAGCCGGTGCATCGTCTTTGGACTGCTAGCAAGAATCAATTCATCGACTTGATGTATGCCTCATGATCTGGAACAGGCTATCCCTAATCCACTTTTGCTCCAGAAATTTCGCATGAAATAATTTTGAGGTGTGAAAAATTGAAGCGT